CAAGAAATCTGGAGGACCACCATCTGATCAACTAACTGGAAGAGATCCATATTTATTCCTATCTCAAAAAAAGGTGATCCAACAGAGTGCAAAAATTATTGAACAATATCAAGCACAAGCAAAATCCTTCAGCTAATAATCCAAAACCAATTGGGACAATACATTACAGAGAACTACCAGAAATACAAGCTGGGTTTAGAAGAGGCTGTGGCACTAGAGATATTATCGCCAATGTCAAATGGATCTTGGCTAAAAGCAAAGACTACCAGAGGAATGTCTATCTGTGTTTCATTGACTATGCAAAGGCATTTGACTGTTATGTGCCATCGAGTCATGTGTGACTCATAGTGACCCTCTGTAGAACAGTCCTAAACCCTGCTCTATCCTGTGCCAATCTGCCTCCGAACACACCTATCCCCATTACCCCAGTCACTGAATCAATCTATCTCATAGAGGGTCTTCGTCACCTGTGCTGTCCCTCCACTCTCCCAAGCATGATGTCCCTCTCCAAGGACTGGTCCCTCCTTGCAAAATGTCCAAAATATGTCAGACAAAGCTTCAGAATCCTTGCCTCCAAGGAGTAGTCTGGTTTAACCCTCTCCAGGACAAACCTGTTTGTTTTCTTAGCAGTCCATGGTATATTCTATACTCTTCTCCAACACCACAGCTCAAAGGCAACAATTTTCCTTCTTTCATTCCTAGTCATTGTCCAGCTCTCTGACAAATAGCAAGTGATTGCAAAGAGCATGGCCTGTGTCAGGCACACCTTAGTCTCCAGAGTGACATCATTGCTCTTTAGCACTTTAGAGTGGTCCCTGACAAGAGACTTCTCCAATGCAATTCAACTTTTAATTTCCTGGCTTCTGGTGCCAAGAGTGTTGATTGTGGAGTCAAGCAAACTAAAGCTGTTAATAATCTCAATCTCTTAATCATCTATCATGCTGCCAATTGGCACAGTGGTGAGAATCTTTGTCTTCTTGATATTGAGCCTCAATCCATATTGAAGGCTGAAGTGCTTGTTCTCCTGCAGCAAGCGCTTTAGGGCCTCCTCAGTTTCAGCAAGCAGGGTGTGTCATCTGCATAAAGCAGACTGTTGATGAACTTTCCTCCAATCCTGATGCTATATTTCTCCTCATACAGTCCAGCCTCCCAGAGAAGTACTGCGTATAGATTGAAGAGGTATGGAGAGGACACATTCCTGGGGTACACCCTTCCCAATTTTGAACCATGCAGTGTTTCCTTACTCTGTTCTGATAACTGCCTCCCAGTCCAAGGATAGGTATAGCATTAGCAGAATCAAGTGTTCTGGGATTCCCATTCTTCTCAGAGTTAGCCACAGTTTGTTGTGATACACACAGTCAAATGTCTTTGCATAATCTATGAAACACAGATATTCTTTTGGTACTTCCTGCTTTCAGCCAAGATCCTACTAACAGTAGCTACAATATCCCTAGTACCACGAAACCTTCTAAACCCAGCCTGCACTTCTTGCAGTTCTCTGTTGATATGCTGTTCCAGTCGTTTTTGTTATTTGACTGTGTAGATCACAACAAATTGTGGCTAACCTTGAGAAGAATGGTAATCCCAGAACATTTGATTGTGCTCATGTGAAAGCAATACTTGGACTAGAAGGCAGTTGTCAGAACAGAATAAGGAAACCATATGGTTCAAAATTAGGAAAGAAGTGCATCAGGGATGCATCCTGACTCCATACTTTTTCAGTCTGGATGCAGAACAGATCATTTGGGAGGCTGGACTTTATGAGGAGAAATATGGCATCAGGAATGGAGGAAGACTCATAACTAACCTACAATATGCAGATGACAGAACCTTGCTTGATTGCTGAATCTGAGGAAGATCTAAAGCATTTGCTGGAGAAGATCAAGGTCTGTAGTCTTCAATATGGATTGAAGCTTATTATCAAGAAGACAAAGATTCTCACCACTGGGCCAATGGCAGCACCATGATGGATGAAGAGACTGAAGCTGTTAACAATTTCAGCTTGCTCGGCTCAACAATCAACACTCTTGGCACCAGTTGTTGTTCCTGTTGTTATGTCCCATCAAGTCGTTTGCGACGCATAGCGACCCTATGCACAACAGCCCTAAA